CCAACTTCACCTGAGACCTCTCCCCACCTCAGGATCAGCTGCCCAACCTGAGAGAGGTGGTGGGCAAAGGAAGAGGAGGTTCTTTAGTCTCTGAGGTAATCCCTGGTTTGGACACCTGGACAGCCCAAATAGCTGTCAGGTGACAGAAAGAGGGCTGCATGATCCCACTCTCTCTTTCTGCATCATTGTGTAACCCAACCAGGCCCGTCAGCTATCATTCGGACTGCTTTTGACATGGGTTTAGATCCCATTCAGAAGTTCAAAGGCTGCTGACACAGCAGCTGAGAGGCTCAGGGTGTGTATTGGTATGTGTATGAAGCTGTGAACCAGCAGAGAGAGAGAGAGAGACACACACACATAGTCCTGATTCTGTCACCACTGGTGAGCAGCTCTTAGAGCTGATCAAGATCTGAGTTCAGAGACCTAATGGAAACAGGGAAGAGCCCAGTTTGAAGGAACTAGACTCTCTTACTATCTAAACCAGAACGACCATGGAGGGGAGGGAAGGGGTTATGCTCACACTAGCCTAGAGTGGACAATATGTGTTGAGTTGATCCCAACCTCTAAAAGTCACCTAACGGTGCATCAATAAAATAATTAGGGAAGCAAGTCAAGTTGTTCCCCTTGGTAAAATTTCTTTTGCTTGTTGGTTATATAAGGGAGAAAACATTATTTTAACAACAGAACAGCAAAGGATGTCTATAAACTTCCCCAGGTATGAGTTGAAGACCAAATGACAGTATTATCATGGGTATAGGCAGAAAAAGGAAGTTGCTATGGCATGTCTATGCCATGATTAGGTGCCAGTATGTAAAGGGTCTTGGAGAACTCTCAATACGTCAAGCATGAAATTTCCTCCAGACCCATTTAAGCTAAGAATACAGGAGATCTCAACCCCCCTGGGTTTAATCATCTACAGAAACATAGACCTTCCACTTAAAATGTCATTTCCTTGTGTTGCCAAGTAAGACTTATGCGAGGCTACAACTGCTGCTGGAAGACAAAGAATTTTGTGACAGCTCTTGAATCATTTCTCCTCCTCACCCACACCTCCCAATAATAGGAAAATGTTTTCTAAGGGTTGTGAAAACCTCTCAAAAGAATTTTAGAAGATACAAATCAGTCTTAAACTTCTCACTTTGCAGTGGTTGCTTACTAATTTGAGGTGGGAAAATATATGTGGGTGGTTTAAAGCCTTGTTTGGGTCAAGATGGCTTATGAAAGGGAGAGCAAAAAGGGTGCAAGAGAAATTCTCATGGATAACATGATAGCATGAGAGAAACACAGTGCCGCAAAGGTTTTGTTAATTGAGATCTCCGCATGAGTGGGCTGGAGTGTCAAAAATAATATCTTTTGGCCTTTCTATAAAGTCAGTTGCCAAGTATCTGGTGAAAAAGCAACAACAACCCTTGCCCCCCCCCCCATTTTTTTTGTTTGGTTTCTTTTGATGCTTTATTGCAGACAAATATTGTTTCCGCTGGTTTCATACACTGGAATTGTTAATAATTACTGGCTTCTGCCTCTGGATTAGCCCTATCCAGTTCCAGTCTCTGGGGGACTTCTCCATAAAGAGAATGCTCTAGAATGTTCTTCCCCAAACTTTTATCCACCAGGCATATAAAGATTGTAACACCCAGAATTCCCAACCAATCATGGGTGTCCCACAGAAGAAAGAGGGGGGCAAATGATGAAATATGCATCACTACATCTATCCCGTGTTTACATGCCTCATGACATCATGACATCAGGATACATTTCTTTTCTTTTTTTAATATTTTAATTTTTGTAATTTAAAATTCTTTATTATACAAGTTTTATACACAGCACCCACCCTTCTCTGCTTTATCTTTCTTTCCGCTCTCCTTCCCTAAGCCATCCCTTTTTCTGGTTGCAGCTTCTCCTAGGATTTTAGTGCTATTTTTGCATCCCTCCCTTTTTTAGATATAAGTGAACATTGATAAACCAACTTTTCTAATATTAGAGAATATCACAATTCCAAAGATTAAGCAGACTGACAAACATAGAGAAAACCCCACGGTGGCCTTCAAACAAGTCTGCTGCTTCTAGCTGTCCCGTGGGGGAGCCTCACTGTAGGATTTCCAGCTTTTTCCTCTGAGTTGCTGGTTGTGTCCCCCAACTTTCTGCATTGCAGGGGCATCAACATTCTGAGATGTAGCAGCTACCCCAGCAGAAGTGGAAGAGACTGCACTCCAGTTAAGGTAGAACCATTCTCAGATACTTCACATTTCTCATCAAAGCCCTCCCATCTTGGGTGTTAATTAGTTCATTGCTCTGAAGGGTAACACATTCTTATATGTTGGCTGAAATTTATCACCAGTAAGATGTTTCACTGTTTTGATGAGACCTCAGCTTACTGCAGATATTCTATAGCCAAGGATTAAAATGGAATTCTGCGGACTGTAGCCCAACACATATGGAAGACATCCGACTCAAGCTAGGTTTAAAATGTTTAATTTCAGCTGGGTTTTGAAAGTCTCCATGATAATTCTCATCAGCATGCCTGTTGCAGCCTCTGGGATTTTCAGGATCAAAAGGCCCCACAAATGACAATGTGGAATATTTTCTCAGAAGTAGGACACTTGGAGAAGTGCCCTGGGTTACTACTGAAGAGTTTAAAACATTAATGTGCCACTGTCATAAGACTAGTATTTGAGGTTATTTTAAAAATGGCTTGGCAATAGATTCAAGACAGACTTAATCCAGTTCTTTAAATTTGTGTTTTCCCTATCATAAGTTATGCAATAGTCATTGGTACCAATAGAGGCGAATATGGCATTCCACAGTATATAAATAGAGACCAAATCCCATCCCATTTTAGCACTGAAGATATTACCTAACTGGGTAATGAAACGTTTGCAAGAAAAGAACCACGCTCAGAGAACCCCAAGGACCCCACAATAGTCATTGGCTTAGAGGGGTTTCAATATTTGATTGATTTGTCTCCAGCCAAACACCTTCTTAATGTGCTATCTAGAATTCCCCCAAGCTGGGAATAAATGGCATCCATGGAAGCGGAGGGTATCAGAAGTTAGTCGTAAGTAGAAACTCCATATATAAAAGAAGCATGTTTCTGTATGCTACCTGCTGGAGACAAAAAACAAAGAGAGGCCATTACTTTTATTCTCTGCTGATTCTCTGATGATAGATAATATCATCTCTTGAAGTTTGTGTTGTGAATGTGCAGGCTCAGACATCCACAAGCCTGCTAGCCTGCAGGCAGATGCCCAGTCCACATTCACTCAAATGAGGCATTGCTCTTGGTCCCAAACAGGGACAGATTATTTCCAGCCCCTGGAACCAGAAAGGGTTTGTGTGTGTTTGTTTAAATAAGAAAGGGCAATTCAACTTGGGAGAAACCTGGGAGCAGAGTCTGGGAAGGAAACAGAGGTTCCCGTCATCCTGCTCAGTGACCTCTGAATAACAGCTAAAATTTACAAGAAGCTGAGGAAGTCCAGGAAAGAAAGTAGAGTACTTTTGCTTTGGGAAAACTTTCTATTTCTATGGAAGTAGGTGAACTTCCAGCTAGGAGATTGCACTAAGATTTTAAATTTCCAGCTCTGGTCTGTGCTAAATATAAGATTTTTTAATTTCTCTGTAAAAATAAAGAAAAGGTGTGGAACTTTAACCTTTTATCCACTTCTCAGGATTGTTCATGAAGTTATAATATTTCTGTAGGATAATTTAAAAATACCTCCAGTGTTACAAATCTCCATTTGTAGAAGACCAGTACCATCTTGTGGTCTGTCTTTTATTTTATTACTTATTTTCCTTGTTTTAATTCCTCAGGAAGTCGCTGATCTGAGCTGGTCAGCTTTGTACCAGAATCTCTTCACACTGAATGTTTGTATTTCAATATTTAAAGTTAATACGGGCTTTTTTACATTTTATCTTTTTTTAAAAAATAAAGGTTAATTTTGTTCATCCCTTGTGAAATGGGTTTACCTCTCCCAACAGGAGGGCTGAATCCTCTATATACCATACCCCAACATTATTATTTCAATTTCTTTTTATCTTTTAATTACCATAGGTGATACAGGTGGTGAAAGACCTAGCTCTCCCACATGCTGGTTATGGGATGGACAACAGATAAAATGCCCCCTGAAAGATAGATGGTGGCAGCAGAAATGAACAAAGCAGAAGTTGGGGCCAGGGTTTGAAAACCAAAGGCTTCTAGTAGAAGAGATTTGAGGCCTTCAGCCTTCTACTCTGCAGGTTCAGCCAATCTGCTAAGGCTCGGATGGCCTCTACGTGAAACAGAATCATGGACTAAATTGGCCCAACAGAGTTCCTATGTTGAGAAATTGTGCGCTTAAGTATAATGTATACATAATCTTATACCAGGGATAATATAGGAAAGACTCCTGAAATGGCCTTCTGAATTTGCTGCTACTTTGTTCCCATGCCGAATCTTTCTCCTATCCAAGATATCCTTCAGATAGACAAGGAATTATTGCAATAGTTGATTATTAGCAGGAGGAAACTGAAAGTGGGGAATTTGACAAATAAGGATGGAATTAATCTTTTTCATGGAAAATGAATGTGGTAGTGGAGGATCTTCTAGAGAGAGAATTTGGCCTCCTATTTCCTTTGCAGTTAAAAACCTCTTATGTCTTTACTGTCTAGGTTGCTGTTTTGCTCCTGAAAGGTTTTTGTGGGGTGTGGTGCGTGGAAGGGGTGACACAGGATAATTTTGATAAGGAAATTGCAAAGAAAGAGATAAATGCCCCTTCCCAGAGGGTTGATCCAGACAGAAGAATCCTGTAAGTATTTTAAAATAGCACCTCAGATACTTAATGGAGGTAATAACCTGACTGTATAGAATGTGTATTTCTCACTTCTCAACTTCCAGGCCTTGATTCAGAGACTAATTGACTGTTTTTACTGGTTTAAGAAGGCTGTGCCTTATGATTTCTTATCTAGACCAAAAATAACAATAAAGTGAAATAATCAGAGCCATGGATTCTGAAAATCATATTGTATTAAAAATATATCTACTACTTTACATTGAAGAAAAGGCTTTGAAATGAACAATTTACACAACAACCCCAACAACTAGATACCAAATTTTTATCACTATCTACCTCAAGAACAGAACAGCAGAGATTTACATTTAAAGCCAAACACGCCACTGAGTTTCTCTAGAGAAGAGTTCTGACCAGCCATTGGTTGAAGCAGCAATGTCCATGAACAGTATTTCCAGATACCAGAATATATTAGCTATTACCTGATAATATTAAAGCTATTTGGGTATTTTGTTTATCAGGTGAGAGAAAAGCTTTGTTCTTCCAGGAGTCTTAAAATGAAAGGGGGCAGAACAAATTCCAGTGAAAAGTTACTAGCATAGCAATGCAGATCTTCCCCCACTGGCCTGAGTAATTTCTCTAGCCTTATAGAAACTTTACTTTCTTTCTTCAGAATTCTTTGAAGAAAAAAATAATACATGTTGAAAGCTGATGCTGAGGAAAATTTCTTAGCATGTATTGGATTTTTCCCCTTCCCCGTTGAAAAATTTTGCTGCTCATGATATCTCAATATTCCTTCAATATTCCTCTGCCATTTTGCTCCAGCAGAAACTTTGACGTTTCACTGAAAATGTGATTTTCAGAGAAATTTGGTGGCAAGTCTTCATTTTCCCCCCTTTCCCTATCCCCTCATCAAATCCAGAGTTTATCTTGAAGGACAGAAGGCAATGAAATTGCCCTCTGCTTGGTGTGATTTTATAGCTAACAGACTACCTTTGCCTCGTGCAATGGTGCTTAAGGATTGTGACACTACTATATGGTAACTTCATTCATGGCACAACAACAAATCCCAGCTGCCCATCTTGCATACTCAATATTTTTCAACAAAAGCTGAAGGCATTCCCAGCAAATTTGACAAATATCCTTATGACACATGACTATTCAAATATCTATCTGCCAAAAGTAAATATTACAGTGCCTGTATCAAAGAATGGCATATATAAAGAATTCTTCAACTTTTCCTTTACAAATCTTTATCCCATGTCCATGTGCTTATATACCCTCATTTTTTCATGGATGTCCAAAACCATGATTATGTCAACCATTTCTATAGCACTGTCCCTAAACCTATCTTTAATACTAAGGATGGCAGTGGGTCACATCTTCAATACTTTGGCTTTGTAATGGCTTAGACTCCAAACCAACAACAGGTTTCCACATTTTAAAAACTCACTTCTTATTGGCATTTCTTAAGTCCTAATACTGTGAGTCCCAGAAGTTTGCTATATTGTAATTTCTTCCTGTAAGAAAATGAGGCCTCCCTTCAGTTTCATCATTATACTTTTATATATATCATCATTATGTGCTTCCAGCGTGCTGCTAAAAGGCATTGTGGAGCTATTTCAGTTTTATTTCTTTATTGGACTTCTGAGACAAAAAAATTAGAAATAGAAGATGATGTCATTTGGACATTCAGTAGAACTCGGTGACTAAGGCAGCTTGACTACTTAATAGAAGTCTAGTCTGGGAGCAACCTTTGTTTTCCTTAAAAAAGATACAGTGCAACTAGACAGTAAAGTTTGCTGGAGTTTAGACAGCAGTATAATGCAGTAAAATCTTTGCCCAAAGACATCCAAAACGTGTTCAACTAGACAAAAGATGACTGTGCCAAATGTCAGTACACAGCTAGTAAAATGTTGAAAAGCAAAGAATCATTGACAACTGAACCAGTTTCTCTGAAAAGTTTAAAATTTAAGAAGATTCTTGTTTTTAAAAAATCTGATTATGCTGTTTATATTAGAAATTACAATCTGTTTAACCTTCTTGACTCCTGGTCAAAGAATGCTGAACACTTTAGTTCTATAAATGAATGTCATAAAAACATCCATATGATTGCATGTTCAGAAAATGACAGTGCCCAGATTTGTTTTGTTTTGTTTTTTGAGAAACCTCAATAACTGAATACACTTCCAACTGGTTGATTTTGCAGTATAGATGCACACTGAGTCTCTCAAAAAATAATGGAGTAATTTTGCCCTCATTTCAGCCCCATTCTGTGCTCACCCCGAACTATGTGAGAGGAGAACTCATATTTATCATGGCTCCTGTGGCCACACATGTTACATTCAAAAGGGTCACGGAAACCATGACATCCCATGTGGATAGTGAACATAACATAATCCAGGAAAAGGACACGACAGTGATCACATCGATAGACTCCGATGGGTTCGCCTTCTTTGTTGAACACTTTCAAGACATCACGAGGACAAATGGTTGGCTGTCTGAAGATGTCATATGCTCTAGGGTGTTCCTTGAAAGTCAAGAGTCCATTCCTGGCCTGCAAAGGAGGAGGAGCCATTTGATTATGAAGGTAGACATGATTCTGGTTCTCTTCTTGATTGCTGTCTGAATCTGTAGAATCTTGACCACTATTGTTTGGAGAAAGACCTTGGTCAGTAGGTATAGTCTTGTCTCTCAGTTGGGTGTTACTCTTTTCCATGTTCTGTGGGTTACTACTGGACATTTCAGTGCGAGTGAGCGAAAGGGGGTACAGGCTGCTGATCACAGGCACCATCTCCGAAGTTGGAGCAGTTGAGGTCTGCACAAGTGGGCGCAGTGCTTCTGCACCAAGGTAGCCAATGGCATTGTTGATGGTTTGGTCCACCATGCATCCTTGCAGCATGGCATCTCTCTCCTTTTCATATAAAAAGCCAGGGTTGTAATTCACTTCAAAGTTGGGGTGTTTTTCACCTACAGAAGAGAACAATACTTGAGGAGTTAGAAAACAAAATTCCTGCAATATTTGTAGATGAAGGAGGCCACACCTTGGAAATCATACTCAGCATCCTATTTTCTCCAGCATCCCCTGCATACTTTCTAGCCTGATTCAAGTACTGGGAAATTATCTTTAAAGTAAGACAGGAAAGGAGAAATTCTTCAGCAGCTAAATGCTGCACAATATAGACCCTATACAGTATTTGAGAGATAAAATCATGGAATCAGATAGCAGTTTTCATCAAAACTGCTGATACAGCCAACTTTTTAACATGCAGCAGACAATAGAGTCTTTCATATTAAAACTTTCTAAGCTAAATAATAGAAACTAGAACAAAACCTTGAGATATTTATCACTGGCAGAACTATGACTCAAGGACCTCCAATGTTCTGCGGATGGGAGTGAAACCAAACACTCACGTTTCTTTAATAATGTGCTTGAGAGTGCTGACAGCTCATTGCCAATCTCAAGATCCATCTGATAGTTCAAAGGAATTTTAAAAAATCCCCACAACATGACATTTCTCAATGACTCATAATGCCTGTTCTAGAAAAGATTAATCAAATAATATTCTTAGGCTAGGTTCTCAAGGGACATCCTGAATATATGTCAGTACATTTGCCATAACTCCAGGTTGCTGGGATGTGGGCAAAAGTATGCTGGAATACTAGCTTTCTTGGAATAGGATGATGTCAGCCTTGCCAGGGAGGCCAGACAGGAAACATGACCAGATAAACTAATTCTGCTTTATTGTAAAGCTACATTAACAGAATCGAGCAAGTTGGAAAGTACAATTCTCCCGCCTTCACCTTTACAGCCCGAGAACTTAGGGAGGGCGCCTCCTAAGCCTTTTACTCTGCCCACTATTCAGTTATGGGTTATGCTGTCTTTCATCTGACTGTTCCCTAGGCAGCATCTCTCCCCTCCCCCCCCCCACTCCGTCTCCCAAGGTCTTTCTCACATACCATTATAGGGGAGCATGTCTGTGGTAAAACTGGGGTTTCGTTGCATTTGTTGAATATTGGCTGAAATGTGCCAGAATTTACCAGTATTATCTTTACCATTAGTAGGAAATGTTGCATATGGCACACAGATACTAAGGCTGATAGTATAGTCCACACTGTCCTTACCAAAAAAACATTATGGAAAATCCTTGAATGACCAAAACCATGATGGGCAGTAGAGGGCAATCTTTATGGTCAATCTGTGATGACCCTGGTATATGGAAGATTCTGATTTAGAATGTAAAAAGAATAAATGATAAAGAGTATGAATTATCAAATGAAATAAAAAAAGAAAAATAAATTGTTATGTTTCTGTGAAAATAAGAGAAAAGGAAAAGGTATAATATAATATCTATATATAATATAAAGGTATTCTGACCTTGTGGAGTAGAATTGATAAATACTTGCAGGGAAGTAAAGATATACATTTAAGTATGAAGAAAAGACTACAGAATCTGCCAGAAATGTATGAATTGGAGTAATTTAGGTTGCTATGAGTGTGTATGAAAATAGAAATTCATAGATTGGTGAAAGTTGTATCTTATACTCCACTGAATGGTGATAACCAAAAAACTATAGAGGAGTTTTAGGAACAACTGTGCAACCTTCAGAATGAATGTGATCCAGAGGAAAATATTATTCTGCGAGGTGACATGTTTGAATGGGTGGAAAGAAGGTAAGGAAAGAGAAAAGGCATTAGGCTACCTGAAGAATGAATGAGAATAATGACTATCTGTTTAGGGTCTGCTTAGAAGTTCTGGTTGTTTCTAACACACAATTAAACATAAATTTATTTATATGTGTGTGTGTGTGTGTGTGTGTGTGTGCTTGTGTGGCAAAAGAATTAATATCCATCTAAAAGCATAATTGATTTAACTGTTTATAAAGAGGGATTGAGAAAATTAGTGAAGGATACAAGAGTAATGAAAGGCTCCAAGTGAGGTAGAGACCATTTTTTGTTAGTTTCATAAATGGATCTTTGGGGGAAAAAAAACACGGAAAAGAAGTGAAAGACCCTAGAGTTGAAGTAAAAAACTGTGGGAAAAGAAAATACAAATCCTTGAAGGAAACAATTATTAGAAGATAGATTAAACTCCCAACAGAATGAATAGAAGTTGACAAGGAAAAAGGATATGAATACTGCTTAGAACAGAGTGAAAAGAATTATGCTACAGAATACCACAGAAATGTGTAGAGTTACTCTAATGGTCACTATGAAAAAAGATGCTGGGTGGAATGATGAAGTGAAAAAGATTGTGGATGAGGGGAAAATGCATGCAATAGATTGTTGTAAAAATGACGATGAAAGAAAGTTAATGCATAATAAGTATATAGAGGGAAAAAGTAGTTGCAAAGATTGTAGTCAAAGAGAGTAAGGAATTGTTAAAATTTAAATGAACAGAGAAACTGATGTTGATGAAAACCTTGTTTTGGAAGTGAGTGAAAAGAGCTAAACAAGGAACCTTCAGCAGAATGGATGGAATTAAATATAAAAGCATCTCAAAGAAATTATTTGAGATGAAACTGAAGTGAGGAAAGAATGCTGTAAGGGCTATCTCAGAGATTGTTATCTCAATGACAGCTATATGTTGAAGAGTAGAATTGAAATGAATGTTATAAATATTTGTGTATATGAATGAAAAGGAAATCATAAATGATGGGAGAATGTTGAAAAATGGTAAAAGCTGCAGGTGTAGACGGTGTAACAGTAAACATGTTAAAAGTATGGATGTGGTTTGCTTGTGGAAAAGCTGTGTGACTTGTTTATTGCATATGTGAAGCCTGCATCTCTAATTGGAAGAATGATGGTCATGTCTTTAATGAAAGTTATGTAAAGTTCAGCTCCATTGAGTTTGATAATGATGTTGATCCTGCAGATAATATTGATTTTGATACAATTCATTTTCCAACTGTTCCCTGTAGTAGGAACAGAATCAGGAACAGCTGGAATCATATAAGCGTGAATTCCTACTAAGACAAGAATGCACTGAATAAAGTGAAAAATCTGGTGCTGATACTATCTATTTGCCACCTTTTATTACAACCAGTCCAGAGAAGATGAATGCTGATCAAAGCAACTGGTAAAATGCTCTTGGCCTTTTTGGAGAAGAAGCTTATACTGATCAAGATTTAATTTTGCTCCCTGACATGGACCTCAGAGCTAAATCTCATTCTGGGAACCAGGTTGCAGCACTGTGACGGATGGATCCACTGGGGCCAAAGATGGAGCAGATGAAAAAGTATATAAAATTGGCCCATTCAATATCTCTACAATAACAGGAGATACTTCGCCACTAGTCAAAGTCTCTGGTTGTCTCTTTTTCATAGAAGCAGAGGAAGTATTGTCAGTGATGTCCTCTTCTTTATGCCTTTCATTCTCAGAGCTCAGTACTACCAAAACCAATGTTGCAGTTGGTAATAATGGAAGTCTGTGTTGCTGAAGCAGAGGGCATTGTCTCAAGTGCAGCTGTCCATATCAATGATTTTGTAGGTTGTTTAGGAAAGTGAATTTTGTCAGATGAAGGTTTTAACCACAGGTTTAAAAGGGGATAGATGAAGGTCAAGCCTATTGATTTGGTTAACCTGCTGCCCTAGATTGCTAGGTCCCCAAACCAGTAGGAATAATAAATCTGTTATCTAACCCTTGCTCTTTTAATTAAACATGCAATCAGACAGAAAATACAGTTTCAGAAATAACACTTCTAAGATCCTGAGTATAACATTTAAACTGTGCAAAAGTTATATAATATTAGGTGATAAAAATTATGAATAATCCACACTGTGAAGGTAAAGCAAGCTTCAAATGTATTCATTTCTTTTCATCCCATTGCAAAAGAACCTCCATATACTGTGACTCTCCACAGTATGCTCAAAAACCTTTCTAAAATGTAGGGAAGGGTTATAGCTCAGCTGTGGTCTTACTCAGCATACAGAAAGTCCAGCTTTAATTCCTGGCCTTTTCAGATAGGGCTAGGAAATAACTAAAACCTAGAAAACTCTTGCCAGTCAGTGTAGACCAGTGTTTCTCAAACTGGCAGCTTTAAGATGTGTGGACTTCAACTCCCAGAATTCCCCAGGTAGCGTCCACAAACTTAAAGTTGCCAAGTTTGAAAAACACTGGTGTAGGCAATAGTAAATCAAATAGATCGTTGGCTTGACATCGTATAAAGCAATTCTCATGTTTCTATTCCAGACAATGGGTCACTTTTCCTGAGAAATAATCTAAAGCTGCCAAATGTATGGAAAAAGTGGTGTTGCCAAAAAAATACCTAATAGCCCACAGACAAGTTAGTTTACATTGCAACCAACGAGGAGTTAACATGATTCTTGCTTTGTCTTTATAATATTTATTAGGTTTTATGAACCTTCTTTTGTTTTGCTTCTGTTTTTTTTTTAATCAACAGTGTACTGTATGCAAAGTGAAAATCACAGCCACCCTGCTGCTTCAACTCTGCTGTTCAAGAGAAGTACAGAAACTGTTAAAGTGCATGGAAAGCCCTGGCTCGTTACTGATTTAATTCTTTTTGCACTAACATTCTTCCTTTCTGGAGCAGGAATCCAGGATCTTACTTAGGAGGGAAGGTGTCCATGTTTAGGCTGAACTCTGTCTGTAGAGGAGCTTGGAAACTTTTTCCCCTGCTACTGACTCAAAGGGTTATCCACCCATTTTGCAGTCAGCTGAAAACTACCTTGACAAAACATTTTCTACCCCACCTCTCCTAAGTGTCTTAAGTCACAGACACTGCAAGTATCTGACTGCCCTTCAAGTGGATTTTGCACATCTTGAGGCTACTGCAAAATAAAGTCACAATAAAGGAACAAACACTACTTTAACAGTTGTACTGCTAAAGATAACTGAAGCCTGTCTCACTCATATGCTGGATGTATGTAGGACCCGGCAGAAATAAGAAGCTGGACTCTGCTTACTTGCCCCAGGAAAAGGCGTCGTCCCAGAGTTGCAAATGTTCTCT